TGGTACTGTCTTTAAACTTAAGTGCAAAACAACAAGAACAGACTTCAGGAATAATTAAATTAATAACGGAAGAAGATATAATATTTTGTCCAGTTCAGAAGTTAATGGGAAGTTGGGATTATTTTTATGACGAATTACAATCGTTTTGAAAACTAGAAATTGCCAAGAATCGCCATTATGGAGGACTGAACCCATATTATGTAAAATAAGAAGTTGGGAATAATTAAATTAATAGGGGAAGAGAATACAATATTTCTTGTATTTCAGAAAGAGATAATGGAAGGTCGGAATTATTTTTACGACAAGATCCACTCATTTTGGGAACTAGAAATTACCAAGAATAATTAATTTATTTTTCTACTATCAGTTGAGATTTAAAAATAGAACGTCGATGAAATTTAGAAACTGGAACTTAGCGTTTGAAAGAAGACTGAGGTGAACTTTGATACGTCTCGTCGCGAGTGTCAAAGCTTTACATGAAATTTATCACGTAGCGTTTTATCTGCGAGAAAACATTCGGACATATCGGCGGTAATTCGTTGGCTCAGAATGCGATTGGTCGAGAAACGAAACAGTGACGCTACCTTTGAATCGAGATAGCTCGATTATCGGTCGAAACCTGCGTAAAAGCACCGCGGGGCCCTCGTAAAACCACTTTACCGCTACCACGTGGACGGAAAACATGGATTCGCTACACTATAATGGCGATTCGAAAACATTGTAACGCGTTGCGTCAGTTGCTTCTCCCGTTCCATGCCAATGTTTATTGATTTTTATTTTTATTTTTTTTTTTAAACTGCTGATAACATTTCTAACCTCCTCGAGCCTGTTGCCGATATCGAAGCCCTCGACAGGCCGTTATTAAAATTAATTTTAGCTTAGGGATGCGACAGCACAGAAACTCCGATCTTCGCGAGATCTAAACGGTTATTAATAACAACTTCAGCGTGGAAAATTACGCTTTTAATTTTTATTTTTGGAACCAAACGTCGTACGAATAAACTGTAAATATAAAAAGGTTTCGTCTCGTCATTTTCTACAAGGTGATATTTTTTAAAAATTGATTTGACTTCGGAGTCAAATGGCTAATCAATATTCCTTTCGCTCTTTCTAAGTAGACCTCTGACGCTTTTATTCTCATTCTCGTTCGATCCTGCTCGATTAACTTTAACGATACGAGGTTCGATCGAGTGATCAGGCTCGGCATTATGATAATCCGCAAATCGGGACACCGCGAGCCACGTATCGTCCAATTGCGCCGCGTAAATCGCGACATAATGGGGGGCCGACACAAGAAAATTTCCGTAGCAAAACCTCGCAAGTTTCTCCATCCATTCAGCGCCGCCATTGCTATTGATTTAAGGGAATTGCGAATCCATGACCGCTACACGCTCACGGCTCTCTCAATTTCAATAAGCAATCGTAAGGAACAACGGTCACGATTCCTGGCTAAACTAGACCGAACACGGCTTGCTTGCGCTCTCGCGGCACTTTTCTTCCTTTTTCTTCCTTCATTAACTATGCGCAACGGTCATTTACAATTTAGAAATCCCGTTCCCGTTGACGGAACCACGCGGTCCGATCGGGACAGGGACGGGTCTATCGTGAATGTAACTTCAGTCTCAACTTATTTCTTCATTTTCCAATTAATACATTCTTTTATTAATTTATTGTTCTAAGTCTATTAGTCACTATACGGGATCACGGTGAACGAATTTTGTAGCGATTGACACAAATAACCTAATTTGTTTAGAACTTACGTCACCTCTTGTTTAGAGGGTCGAATTTTGTAACGATTGTGATAAATAACCTAATTTGCTTAGAACTTGCGATATGAATACGATAATTAGTAAGAATTTACGGTATTTACAACTAATCGTAAGTCAAACATAGTAATGGATGTATCGACACGAATTATCCCCACCCCTGTTATCTTTGATTAACGCAAGAGTTAGCTGGTGGCTGAATAAACAACTTCAGTCGAACGCCATGCGACGAGCGATGAATATTTATTCGTGAAAGTATCGCCAACGTATCGGTGACGTTTCTCCGGTTAAAACAAGTACAAACACGGCCCAATTCGGATTACTTCAATTTCAAGTCATCGAATCATTTCTAAAAATCATCCAAGCACGTACAATTAAAAGTGGTCGGAATGGTATCGTGTTTGGAGTCGTTTTAACCGGGAAAGTCTCACGAATCGACAGCTAATAATTAAGATATCGTAATAAAACTACAAATTTTAATTTTCATTGAAATTATCAAGAAAATCGAATGTACAGAGTTTTCTACTCTCGGAGATTGCTATGTTCCAATGTCTACGAGGTTTCATATCAGCCTACTCGAAAGTGCTGGGTGTATGTTTAACCCTTTCGAGGCTATGGACGTGTTTATACACACGACAGATTACATACTCGGAGAGCTATAGACGTGTTTACACGACTTCTGAATTGTTTACCTGTCCGAGGATGTGCAAGTATGCGGAAACTATGGCAGACGATCGTTAATCGCGTTATCGATACGAAATATGTGACGAAATATGAGATCAGGTTTTATTTTTATGCGCTACTACCCTAAATATTTATCGTTTCTATATTGTATTGTTATAATTACGAGCAGAATTTGAAAATTTGAACTGCCAATTATAAATATGACATGGGTAGAGAATTTTATCAATATCCTAAGGATAGAAACTGATATTTTTTACCTCAACGTATAAATGTCGTACTTTAAATATTTCGCTACTTCTATTCTTTCAAGTATCTTTTCTTAAGTGGTTAATTTAGAAATACTAATTCGTTTAGACGATAAGGGTGCACGTCAAGTCTCACGTATTCCTAACTGTAACAGCTCACGTACAGATAAGATCGTTTTATAAATCGAATTTTTCAATCTGATCCGAGATTAATCATATCGATTACGACAGTGGCGATAAGTCGATCGATTCGCGAGCGTGTGCATTATGAAGGGCGAAGGGACGTTGGTGACTCACAATGATTCTTCGTTAAACTAGTCCGTATATGAAATGACATGCTAATTAGATTATGGCAAAAGGTTATCAAGCTTGTCGAGCTTCTGCCTAACCTTCTGCCTCGATCTAATTACTTCATCGATTTTTATGGAAGCCAACTTATTAGTCAGCCTAAAGCATATTAATTTTCTTTGAAAATGTAGAGTATCAACTTTGTTTTGCCGTCAGATTTTTCAAGATAATGCTTTTCTATCGAAAGTTATGAATTTTTAAAAGAAAATTGATTGTTTAACGACCTTTCTACGAATTTATGAAAAACTATTGTTTAAACATTTTTAAACATTTGTTTTCGAAAAGATTTTTACAGAATTTCTGCTATAGTTTAAATAGTCGAAAACATGACACAAAAGTCTCCATATTGTCTGTTATGGATAACAAGAAACATGTTAATTATTAACACTAAACCTATCACGATAGTTTTTAAACTTTTTTTCTTATATGCAATGTATACATTATATACAATTGTTTTACGCGATATTCAATGCAATTCCAGGTAAAATATTTTTACATTCAATAGAATAAACTGTCTGTGTACCTAGTCACTTGTAGAATTAGTGTTAAGAGTTAAATAAAAGAAAATATTTTTGTTTCAATTTACACGGGACACTCTACAAAAACCCACGACTCCTGAATAAGTTCCCAATACTTTTTCCTCTCCAACCCAAAAATTCAATTTCAATTACAAAACAGGAAAAAAGAAAAGAAAAATACAAAGTTCAAGGGGTTAGTCGCAGCCAGGAAAATAAAAACGGACACTTCCTTGTGTGTTTTTTTTAAGGTATTAAATAATAATTTTTACGAATGAAATGTAAATATATTACAAAGTATGTCTTAAAGAACTATAAAAGATTTTTGTTTTAAAAAAAGGTTAATTCATTTCGTCATAACAAGCGAGGATTTTTTATTTTCTTATATACTTTTCTTTTTATTCTCTATTTAATCACTTAATTTTCTAATGAAAATTGAACTTCAACTTCAAATGCACGTTATTTTGTTTTAAATTAATGTTTTCCAAAATCCTTCGATCAGGGACCCGTTAGTCTAATATATTCTCCAAATCCTCCTTTATTTTTGTTTTTAGGTATACCAGTTTGGAGGAATCTTGCTCACCGCAAACAAAATGGCCACCCACACCATCGCCTGTTATGGCGAAATGAATTAACCTTTTTTAAAAACAAAAATTTGTTTATAGTTCTTTAAGGGGCTTGGAACACCAAAGATGAAAGAAAAAACACTGATTTTTCACTTTTCCTTTTTAATTTTTTTTTTTTTTAATTAAAATTGAAGCGCTTCTGAACAATCCTACGCAAAGAAAATTGAATTTGGAGCACTAGAAGTGGTAAAAAAAATTTCTCGAAAAAAAAAAAATAGAAGTTTTTTGTTAGAAAATTTCCGTCGTTCTTACAAAAAAAGTTCGACGACACGAACTTAGTAAAAAGAACGCGATAAAACTGTAAAAAATATAAGGAAATACAACTGACAACTTTCTCGTTGAGAAAACAACGACAGTCAAATTTGCGGAAGACCGGAGACGCGGTTACCTTGGTCACAGCCATAGGGTACTGTTTTCTAGGGTAAAGAAGACAGTAAATTTCCGAAAAAGCAGTGTTTTAATCGATTTCGATAAAATTAAATACGATTTCGTAACATTTATATCGATTTTTACAAAACAATTTTTTTACCGCTTCTAGTGCTCTAAATTCAATTTTCATTTCGTAGGATTGTTCAGAATCGCTTAAATTTTAATTAAAAAAAAAAAAAAATTAAAAAAGAAAAGTGAAAAATCAGTGTTTTTTCTTTCATCTTTGGTGTTCCAAGCCCCTTAAGATATATTTTGTCACATATTTAAATTTCATTAATAAAGCTTATTATTTAATACCTTAAAAAAAAACCACACAAGAAAGTGTTCATTTTGCTGACCGCGACTAACCCCTTTAGAGAAAATAGGAGATTCTGTTGGATGATTTACCTCCGTCTCTTGGCCTGTTGCGCGTCCGTGTGCGTCTGCTGCATATGATGGGGCGATAGGTTGGGCCCGTAAGACAGAAGCTGACTTCCGGCGGTGGGGCAGGGCGCTGGCGGTGGTGGGGGCGGCGGGGCCAATTGGTAGCCCACCGAGGTAGCGGAGGGTATGTAATGCGAAGGGCCCGCTCCGGGGCCCAAACCGACCCCTCCATAACCCCCGCCACCCGCGCCGCCCCCGTACATACCGCTGCCGCCTGGGTACTCTATTTTGTCGACCTTTGCGCTCCTCTGCTTGGACCACGAGAGCTCCTCCGACGTTCCAGAGTCGTTCGTTCGCCTTCCGCCTCGATTATCTCGTCATCTTGCCCCTCTGACGATGGAATCCTCGTCGATACGTCGCGGCCTTCTTCGGCGTCGTTTCCTCGAGCTGTCCGACGGGCTCCCTCCTTAGCTAGTTCATGTTCGAGCGGGGAACAAGTGTCGGGGATATCCTCCCTCCGGCCGTTTATCAGCCGAATCTCTCGTGGGACCCCAGATGGGTCCGAGATTGCAACGGAATCGCCTGGATCTCCTCGAATCCGAGCCTCCGAGGTTCTGGAGCGGTAGCGGACCTGTTTCGTTATGTAGACATTGTTCGAGGGATGTGTCTCTTCATTTTTCGTGAGGCGACGGGGGTCAGAGTCCCTGGGAGGCAGTGTTCGGGGCCTTACGAGATTCTCGACGGTCTTCTCGGCGGATCTACTGGATTTCTAGAGTTTGAAGAGCTCTGGTGTTTGCTATCTTGAATTTGGAGGATCTTTCCACTTTGAATGGATGCGAGTCTCTGGTCCCCTTTTGACGTACTTGCGCTTGCTTATCATGAAGCTCGGGGCTTGGGACTTGTATCGACTGGTTTCGTCTTGCTACCTTGGCATATTGTTAGTAATCTCTTCAACTTCCTTGGTTAATTAAATTTGATAGTTTGTTGAGCTAAGACTCGAAACTTGCACCGACTTCCTAAGGTTCTACTTTAACATTCCCAAGCAATGAGGCACCTCCAAAGCAACCAGATGATGTTTTAGACAAGCCTAGAAGCTGTGTTCATAAGTCAAGGACTGTCACCAAGAATAAGCGGCCTGACGTACTATCGTCGAATCTCCAGACTGGAGATGGGTCACAGGTTGCACAGATATAGTCCCCAAACACGAACGATCCCAACTCGAGCGTCAAGGCCTCTGCTCTCTTACGGCCCCATCATCTTCAACATCCTGCTACGTTGTGGCCCTGTTTCGGGTAGTTTCTTCGGGTCCGTTGGGTTCTTGGTACCCTCCTTCACGTTTAATCCTTATTTGAAAGATTCTGGAGCAATAGACTCCGGAGCATAGATTCTGAGACTTGAATCTTGGAATCTCGAATCTTCTGGTGCTAGTATCTACTTTCCTCAGGCCTTCAGTCTCGAGCTTAATGATTCTCCAGGTCCGCTAGTTTCTTGGCCACCCGAGAAGGACTCTAGAATCTCCCGACTCTTGATGCCAGCATCTATTTCAAAACTCAGGAACTTCTTTAAGTCTTATCTTCAAGGATTGCTGGAGGATTGTTCTTAGAGCTGTTTCAGCTTTTTACACACTAGACAAAGACTTCGAGCCTTTCGTCTCTCTGCCTTCAAGGAAAAGAATAGTCCAAGTTCCCTTCAGTGCCTATTCCCCCAGAAACTTTTGCTTTTCGATCCCTGCTTCCAAATATTCGTAAACACTGCTCGAGCCACCTCGAAGACTGGCCTACGCCACGACTCAGCGAAAAAGGAGCACCCAAAGCGGACCTGGCAATCCTGACACGTCGAAACCGTGTCCGCACGCGTCCTGTTAGTTCGCATCGGATCTCGATGCTCCTTATTGGAATCCTGAAACCGTTCGTTCACCTCCGCAGGGTTATCTCGTCATCTTTACGCAAAGATCTATGCCCGATGAATCCCTGATACTTTGCACTCCGCTCGTATCGCTGTTCGCCAGGTATTCCAGACCTGTTGGTCGTAGATATCCCCCTAAGCAGAAGCGGGTTTTCCTCGGGACGGCCCCCCCTGGCAGTATTTACGGGCGACGCGGTGAAGGATTATCCCCCGGCTGGACTTTATTTCCACTTTTCCAGCGGCACGGCGCGGGAATGTCAAGCAAATGTCGCGCAGCCGTTGCGCAACCGTCGCCAACGGAACCTGGAGCACCGTGTCGTGAACTGAACACACGAAATCCACGAAAATTATTCGAGCCACCACTTTTTTTTCCTTTTCACGTGCACGGACGGGGGAGTTCGACGAACTGGACACTCGCGGGATCACCTTCGGCGGGCAACCGGGATCCAAAACGGTGGGAGAATCATCTCCGGCTGCGGGGGGCGTTCAACCCTTTGAGTACTGACAATTTTTGCCCTCTCACTTGTTATACTTTCGTGGTAGATAATTTTTGGAGGAGAATTATGTTAAATGTGTTCATCCTTGAACTATTTGAAAAATTTAACTGAATAACTGAACCAAGGTGTTTAAAAACAACTAACTTGAAAATATATCAACGAAGTTCTGGGAACTTTATCATATCATGGATAGGTAGACTTTCTTGTTAGACAATTTTTGGGAGAGAGTTATATAAAATGTGTTCATCTTTGAAATGACCAAAATAGTAATTTAAATTACTTAAATACGAAATTAAATTCCCTGCTAATGAATTGGTTAAAAATTTCACATTTAAACCATCCAACTCGAAAACACACCAACGAACCTGACCGTTCGACCTCGATGAACATAAATATTTTACAATGTTGCTCTCGCAGCAATCACAACTTCGCGGAGCAGAAACTACCAAGCTCTCAGCGCATACGTACTCGATACGAACTCGCTTCCATATTTTTTCGTTGCGGCACATGTATTCCACGCCGGTAACTTTCAACGAACCCTATGTATCCATTCACAGCACTCGCAGGGTTAAAGTTCCATTCGCGATTTCGACATTTACCACGCGTTCCAAGGATCCAGCCCGATCGTAGCACGCATCTAGCATATTAGGAGTTTTGGAAAGTGCGAATCGCTTTCACGCGGAGGCGGCCCGGGCTTAATAAGAGCGGCTAATCCGCGCGATCGCTCATTATTCCCGCCTCGAACGCCTCCAGGCTCCACTTTGGAACCCCTTCGCTCGGGGTTCAAGTTCACCGCGGAAGTAAGCGAATCTCCGTGATCTTTTCCACGGAAACTCGAGTCCGCCACCTTTTCGAAACCGGAACACTTCCGCGGGACGTTCGCCAAGTTTGACGATCTTTCGTTCGATAACCGCCTCGGGAACGCGAACGGAACCAGTCGCGATTTATCCGAGGAACTTTCGGGAGCGAGGCGGATCGAGGGATCGAGGCGGTCTCGATCGCGATCGAATCCGCGGTAATCGGCCGTGTCACGGTAAAACTCGCGAACGCGGAAGCACGTACCTCGGACGGATGGGATCGCCGACTAGTCACCACCCACAACTCGCCAGTGACTGATTCCACCATAGCCGCATAATGTGCCGCTGTGCTATACCCCGCTAAGGACTATCACTTCTCCCACCAGCGAGCCAGTCCAGAACAGCCACCGTGTAAAGCATGACTTTTAGCTTCGGGATGTGCACCGTGCCCGGTCTGTGCACGCTAACCGACCACGAGGACGACGACGCGAATCGAACCGGGTTCGCCAACCTGGCACGTGGACATTTTCAAATTCCCCCTGCCCTCCCGCACACTTTTCGAGGGTGAACAGGAAGTTGGGAAGTGTTTTTAGATGGATCGAGGATGGTGGAGGTGCAAGTGAATTTTGTTTGGAGATTATTTCAGTTTATCTTCATTTTGAATTCGATTCAGTTGGAGAGGGAGATTTTCTTATTCTTAGATTGTTTAGTGAATAGTGAAATGGAGCGACGATGGGATGGATATAATTTGGAAATATTTAAATTTTATTTTTACTATGAGGCTAATTCATTATATATTCTGTTCATCTTTTATATTTTATCTCACTATTCATTATACATATATGTATACACACACCATATACCATATACATATAATAATATAATATATAATACATATATATGTAATTCATGATATATGCCTCACAGTAAAAATAAAATTTAAATAATTCCAAATTATCTGATCATCATTCGATTTCAATATTTACTAAATAATCTATGAATTAAAAAATCCTCCCTCCAAGAAAATTTGACACTATTTATATATATACATGTATGTATATATTATATTATAATATAATATTATTATATTACATCATATATATATATATATTAGTATTAATTCTTAGATTGTTTAGTGAATATATTCCAGTATGTATATATATATACATGTATGTATAAAACGAATATACATATAAATATATAAATCTTCTTATATATAATAACAAATTACACAGTGGTAATAAGATTACATAATATTAGATTATTTTGTTTGAAGGAAGGAGATAAAGGAAAATTACATTCATTTTTAATTAATTAATATCAGCTGATCCCTGATGGACGAATATAATTTGGGAGTATTTAAATGCAACCACCCTACCGCCCTATCAATATGAGCGTTCCATGAATAAACCACTGTCAATTAAGCTAATTTAAAGACTAAAATTATTTAAGCTTAATCAACGAAAATAATTTCCACCAATTTGTTTTAGCTACTCCGTTTCACGACGGTATGGAAATTTTGGGAGCGTTCAGGTGGATGTGTATTTATAGCACACTCAACGTATAAATTCTTGTTTAAAAAGTCTTTCGAAGAACGGACCGCGCCGACAGTAAAAGTATGCGATGTTTACGATAACGAAACGTTTCTTGGACGATGTCGCAACGGTCTGACGCGAAGGAATATCGGGGAGTATTGGCTCAAGCATTGCCCACTGTTGTGCCAGACATAGTAACCGATCTCGTATAGCGTGACACTTCTCGGAATCGTATTTAATAGAAAGTTGCTAAAACTTGAGGGTATACATGTGCCAGAGTATATGTAACTTATGGCAGAGCTGTTATGTCAAAGTTTCTTCCTATAGAACTTAGAGAACTATATCATAGCTTAGTTCTTACTAAAATTGGTAGAAAGGATATATCGATAAAATAAATTGTTCCTGTGCTACCTTAGGAACTAGTTTTGCCTCTTCGGGACTGTTATCTTTTAAGTTATTCACTGTAAAGATAGTACAACTTATTTTGTTCAATATTTCCTATTTGTAGAAATAACGTATTGTTTTAAATACTATAAGTCATTCACTTACATAGTTAACTCATTCCAAAGCTTTTTACAACAGATGAATGGTATAAATAGTACATACTTCAGACAGATAATCTTAATTTTAAACGGTAATCAATTTCAAATTCATTATCTTCTGTTTTTCAACAGGCCTTATGTTTGTCTTTCGTCAGAGTATCAGAAATATAAATAGCCATGTGTAAATATAGCATTACATACCAGCGTGTAAAAGGAACAATGTAATACATTATCTTATAAGAGAACTCACCCTATATGTGCCACGCTAGCACTGCGCTTCTGGGCCATCTTACTCGGGTCGCTCCCTGTAAATTTAAATTCTTTAAATAACCTAAAAACCAAAGTAACAACCAATAATATACATTGCAATAAATGCTAAGATCAAGATATATCAAAGATACCACTATAATCTTTAGTATTTTTATCAAAGAAAATCTATTTAAACAGCCTATTCTACCTAAATTTACCTTCCCATATTACAAACTACATTTACGTACTCAAATTATATAAACTCTAGACCGAAGCCAATGGCTCTTTGTCCATGCCTCCAACATTAAATAAAATAATCATTACTTAAACACAGAACAAAGAAGAACGAGAATTCTTGTTATGCCAAGACAACTTATTTGCAGGTTAAAAGAAACCAATAACAAGAAAAATTTCTAGCGTTTTACGATAGAAAAGTGTCCTACTTAAAGAGGGAAGCAACGACGCTCGAAAACCTGCTTAAAAATAGCTTGACTTTGTGAATAAGTAAAATAACGATTGTAGCATCGATAAGCAGCAATTTTAACGAAAATTTCGAGCGTGATTTCCGTGTACGTCAATTGGAGTAATTTGGAAAATGCTTTCAATGTCAAACAAGTTCGATATTTACCTGGTATAGAATGGGCGATCGTGGATACAGTGAACATTCAGGTAAAATTTGTTCTTCACACAGTTAAACACAAAAAGAAGTAACAGACCGTTGAACTCTCACGCGAATCCTTCGCGGCCAATGCGCCTCGTTAACATCAAAACTGGGTGTTTACACTCAGCAGTCGCGCCATTTTGAAGTTTTTACCTCAGAATTTTATTTTTCCTCGAGCCTTCGAACACGAGAGTCGAAATTGCCTCGAACGCCACGCACTCTGTCGGACAAAACGCGAAACTCTTCACAATGAAATATAAGGTGTTTCGAAAGTCCCTATTCGATAAAATAGGATAAATTTAAATACAGTGCTTTCACGATTACAAAAATATTCTTAATGTAAATGTAACTGTTTATTATGTATTTTAATTATTTAGGGCTCCTTTCGTTAGATGCCTTTCACGGTACGAGTTTTGAATATGTTTCCAAACACGAACAATAAATTAATAACGTATTGTACCTAGGTTTGCCAATTTTGTTTCAGGCTTGATCCCTTTTTTTATGTTTTGCGTACAGACATGTATTGTATCACAAAATCATTTGTTTGGAGCGTTTTCTATATTATGGAAATAGATAGGGACATTTGGGACACGCTGTACATGAAAATCTTCAGATCACAAAAGTTTCAAACTTGTAAATCTTTCGACGTTTAGAAAATAAATAAATATTCATGATGCTTTAATGTAAAATATTATTTGTATATAATATAATTTTATTTGTAGATTTTATATTAAAGTAGCATTTTATTGGTTCATTTTTGTTATATATTCTTCGTATTATGACTCGTAAAAATAAAAACTCAATGGCAATAATTGTGTTAATTAATACACATTGGCGTTAAGTGGGTAAATTAAAGTAGTTAATTGAAAAATTAATTTTTTAATGAGAAAAGTCAGTGGTGGCGCCATCTCTGGGCAAACTTGGTAAACTATATAGATAGTTTACGCTATGCAGTGTTCTACGTATCACTTATCGATAAGATGTTGAAATAGATAAACTTTGGTATTTTTGCAATAAACTAACTAAATTTGTTTTTAAATATCTCGAATATATGCAACTTCTCCAAACTCATAATTAGCCCCTGGTACCATTGAATATATAATTGAAACATAGTACAGAAAGTCTAGTCATCGTGGCTCCTAATGGTCATTTCTACGAACTACTTTCTGTGATATTAAAAATTGAAATTATGGCTATTCTTTCAAATTGAAACGAAATTTCTCTTCAGACCATTCATAACATAATCAAGTATGCTCTAGAAACAATTTCCTTAACAGAGATCAAATGTCATTGAACATACAATTGACATATAGTACGGAAAGTCTACCAAAGAAACAGGCAACTGAGCTACTGACTGTTCTCACGTTTACTTGTCAAGTAGATAAAATAAATTCGAAGACTATAATGGTCATATACCAAAATCATTCAAAGCATAATCGACGAGTCCATGTTTTTAATCAATAAATATAATCCAGCAAAGAAGAAATATGTTAAACATTTAGTTTCTTTACTAGGATAGACTAGGGACCATCTTCATTCAATAATAGCGAAGTAGGATGACGAGAGGCATAGTTGTAAGTTCAATCACAGTAGAAGCATACTAAATATTAATTTAGAGGTATCTAATATTTTAACAGAGTTCAATTTCATTGAACATACAATTCGAACATAGTATGGAAAGTCTACCAAAGAAACAGGCTACTAAGATACCAACTGTTCTCACATGTTTATTTGACAAGTAAAATGAATTCGACGACTATAATGATCATATACTTATTTCATTTGTAAGATAATCGACAAGTTTGTTTTTCTAATTATCAAATATGATCTTGTAAAGAAGAAATAAGTACATCTCCGTACGAAATGCGTTTCTTCTAGGGACTATCTTTGTTCGAATATAGAACAAAGTAGGGAGAGTTATGGTTGGAAGATGAAACGTAGTAGAAGCATATTAAGTATTAATTAAGACGTATCTGATCGAACTTATCGATTCTTATTGGGCATATCGTCTTCATGCGAACGGTTCGTCGCGATTTGAAATGCGACGCCGTAGCGCCGGTATACCTGTATCTGGCCTGTATCTACTACGCAACTTCCGCTAACTCGCTGCTGAGCAAAATGGACGCCTTTGTGTCTGTTTTCTTCGTATTCACACTATAAATACTGTTTTCCCGGCGATGCACCACCTTTGACATGGCGATGTTTACGCGGTGTCGCGAGAAACGTAAGTGAAAATCGTGCGGTGCCGCGGAGCTGTGTGGGTTCACTGGTGATCGACGTGGAAACGTGTCCAAACCAAATAGGCCACAACCACGGATGACAATTGAGTGAATATCATCACGACGAAAACTTTTGCGAAACAGATTCTCCACGAAGGGA